ATTGCCCCCACAATCAATTATTCGGTAGGCCTGGTTTAAAGTTCTTAAAAAATATTTTACTAGTATATAAAAAATTTTTAAAATTTTTTAAGAACTATTAGACTAATTTTAATATTCTTATTACTATAATTTTTATTAAAAACCCAAAAATAATTTACTTAGTAAGAAAATTTTAGATAGAAATATTTTATATTTGGTTTAATAGTAAAATTTATTTATAAAATTTGTAGATTTTTTTTAGATAACAGATGGATTGCCTATTAAGTCAGATAAAATAATATAATTCTAAAAAATATAGAAAAATTACAAATACTAAATCTAAAAAAGTTTTAAAGTTTTAAATAAAACCTTAAAAACAAAACAAGAAAAAATTAACTAAATTTTTAAATATTAATTTATAATTATAAATAGATAGGCTATACTACTTGTATTTATAGAACAATTAATAAAATATACTAATTTATATTAAAAAAACTAACTTATACTATATACTATATAATATATTTAAAATTTAATTTTTATATAAGAAAATATCTAATTTCTACTACAGATAATTATTATTTATAATTTTCAATACATAACAAAAACAACAAAATAATTTTTTTAAAGCAAAAAATAATATTTGTTATAGTTAGGGTTAGAGTGAGGTTTGGAATAAAGCAAGGGTATTGCTTATAGTAAAATTTTGCAAGAAATTTTTTTTGTTAGAGCTCCAAAAGTAGTTTTATAAGCAGAATTTTAAAATATAAATAATACAGATGATGATTACCTGTGGTAAAAATTAGCAAATTCCTTTATATAATTATAAAGTAGTTTGACTATATAATTAAATTAAATAAAAAACTAAAAAAAATAAACTAAATTAAATCAAGTTAAATTATTACTTTATTTTATAATTATTAAATATTTAATAAATATTTAATAAATATTTAAATAGAGTTAAATTAGTAAAAACCAAGCAAATTTTTTTTTAAATAATTTTTTTTAAACAATAACTAAACAAAAACTTAAAAAAATTTTTTTAAATAAATTTTACAAATTTATAAAATTTATTAAAATTTGATAAATTTTTGTTAAATTACTTGATTTCTACTAACTTTTTAAAAAAAATTAAGCAAATACAGTATTTAGATACTTATTTTTTACCAAATCAAATCTCTAAAAATTTTAACAAATTTTGTTAAATATTTTAATTTGTTATTTTTCCTCTATATAATTTTTTTTAAAAAAATATATATATTTGTGCCTAATTTCACATTGTATCTGATCTTAAATTTTGATTGGTTATAATCCTTAATTATAGAATTATCAAGATAACATTCATATTAACTACTAGTAAAAAAATACTTAAGCCCAAACATATTTTATTTTTTATTTCTTCATTATAATGGTAAACAGGTAAAGGCAACACCCGAAATACTTATTTTAGAAAACATTATAAGCATTATTACTGTTTTCACAACTAATACTTACACCACCGGAAAAATGCATAGCAAGAAATCAATATAAACAGAAAAAAAAACATAATAAAGAAAAACAGCATAAAAATATCTATGAAACTACAAATAATTACTAGTAAATATGTTGGCATAGTAAAATAACGAAACTCCTTACTATAAATCCCGCAACGAAAATTTTATCGGAGACTATATATCCTGATACCATGTTATATATCCATGTCTGGGCTTTCATCTTCGTCTGAATATGTATCTACAGAACTTACTTCATCGCTAGAAGAACTTTCATCTGTCGCAGCATCTGCTGCTTCTTTTGTAGCAAACCTGCTAACGTACTCTATGTAATTTATGAGTTATGTTAAATTTAACAAGGCATTGAACCACACAAAAAGAAATTATGACTAAATTATAAAAAGGATAAAATATTACCTTTTACTTTGACTTCATATGTGTGTGGCTCCCTCATTAGTAGGGCGGCAGCTTCACCGTTGAGAGGATCTGTAGGATTTGGATACCTCAAAAGCTGAGGGAGGAAAACCTCGAAAATGTTGATCATATCTGTGAATATTTTTCATATTTTACAATAAGAACCAGATTTAACGTTGCTAAAAAATGTACTATAAATGTACATCGTAAAAAGCGCACCAAACATCGGGCTCCATGTTTGATTAATTACGTCAAGACAAACAGATCCACTTCTAAGTTCGTATTCATATTAATCGTTTTTTGATTAGCAGTCAATCAAAAATAAATAATGCTAAAATCTTATATTAACCGAACAGTTTTTATAACGGTTCTAATGGAAAGTATACTACTCACAGTTCGTCAATATTGGGATGAAAAATTTTATTCATAAACCCAATCGACGGTGATTTGAATGGATATTGATCAGGTAGTTCAACATGGACTTTCCATACACCACCAGAAAAGGGTGCTAAAATATAATAAGACATATTATCAAGCGTTGAAAACAAAAGCAATTATATTAAAGAACATTCGACTTACTATCTTCGGGTCCATGAAACCGAACATAAAATTCCTGCATGTTGTCATTGACAAGAGTAACTTCATAATCACTCATGAGGCTTGAGGCATAAATTAGTCCATATGAGGATTTCAAATTTGTTGTGAATGATATCAATCGAAGTATGCGTTTACTTTGAACTAAAAAAGTATATCTAGCACGACTTACAGCTTCATTACATCTGTCTCGATCCTTCTACGTGGCGTTGACATTTGCAACTGTACTTTTGTTGAGTTTATTTCTTGTAAAACGGATAAATTGAGTATCAAGGAGTATTTATGATGACTCTAGTGCAGAAGAAATATATGTTTAAAATTGGCGAGATGATATGGGGAAAATGTACAATATTAATCACATGGTCCGGGTACGAACACAGGTATAAATCATTACACAGGTATTGCATATTGCATCATACAGGCTCACAGAATTACTCATTATTAGTATTTATTATAATCACGTGAAATATCACGCGTTTAGGATTATACTTTGTGAAATAAACATTCGTTCATTTATTCTTTTTTTGTAAAGCTACAGATTCAATTGTTCTTATTTTGTAAAAAGAATCTATCAGACAAATTAAAGGTATTATAAAATAAGGAAAATAAAAGGTCAATAAAAGAATTCTTTGATTTTTCAATAATCCTTCATGATCTCCAAAGAACAGTTCACTAAGACATTCGAAAGTTGTAGTGGAAACATGTACGGAATAAATTAACAGCGGAAGACGAACACTCAAATTATCTGTATAAATTCATAAAAATTAACAAATTTATATATTTTGAACATATAATGACAGACATTCTTTACCTTCCAATAATCCAATAGCTGCATAAATAAAAAGAGGTATTGACAAAGCCTCAATATACAAACAAGAAACAAACCATGTTGGACTTTTTACGAAAAATGGATCGTTAAAATTTTCAATGTACCATTGGTTTATAGAGGTTAAAGCGCTGGGTGCGAATGACTTATAAATAGGATAAGTGTCAATTAACACAGCGGCTAGAATGTGGGTAATAAAATATATGAAGTATACTAAATCTTATGATTAAAAATTTAGTGAAAAGACAAAAAAAGAATTAGTATTAAGTTACAAAATAAAGATAAAAAGTAGATAAAATTGTATACCAAGAGGCCGGGAAAAAAGAGAAGCCATGATAACGATCAACATCGTTTTCATATGGGCTCATTTGAAAGTTTTTTTCTGGTTTGTACAACAAGCTGTACCAATCAGATCTAATTGCATATTTAATATTGTACAGTCAAACCTCTTTAAGTGCACGTACGTACGTACGTACGTACATACAGTCATGCCATACTATAGGCATGCTTAGTGATGTCAAATAGCCAAGTTTCTACCGGTAGCTACTGGTAGACATATAATTAGAATCTAATACTGTAATATGATTTGAAAGTTAACTTATTGGTAGCTGCTTTGCAGATTATTAATCTACACCAGTATCTATCGGTAGCTATCATATAATTCGAACTATTGTTCGGAATTATAATTTGTTAATCATGAGAAAGTTATTCTATATTTGCTATACATAGTGTCTATGCTCTACAACATTGATTTTCTTTTAGAAATTTTTTTTTTTTTTTGAAACGCGAATTGGTGTACTTATTTAATAGATATTATAATTACAAGTAGTAGAATTTATCTATTTACAATTATATATTAATGTTTAAGAAGCTAACTAGTTTTTTTTTTGTTCTCTCATGTCTTGTTTAAGACTCTGAGACTTTTCTGAATTCTGGATGTTGTAATATAACCAATTATATTTTCTGAAATATTGTTGTTACCCCACCTAGCTTGTGTGTACCACAACCAAATTTCATAAATAATTGTAATATAAAGTCATATCACTGTCATTTTTTTCTCTTGGTTTTGGATATTTGAGGTTGTAAAGATTTTCTCTAATGTTAGAAGAAGAATTTTCTTTTCTGGGTTTTTAAAAAATCTATATCCTTTATTTCAAATTGCTTGGCTGATTTTACAATCTATTGCAAAATATTTGATTGTTTGTCTTTTATATAGACAGTTAGGGTAGTTTTTATTTATTTCTCTGCTAATATGCATTAGCCGGTATTCTAATAGAAGAACTTGATTCTGTAATTTTCAAAAAATATCTTTCTTTTTATTTAGAATTTATTTATAATCTATTGAAAATGCTTAGAGAGTTCTTCTTGAATATTTATTGATACTTGTATAGCTGTTGGTTGAACTGAGTATTATTTTAAATAGTCTGTTGTTTTTTTTACTATAAAGATATTGTCTGGTTGTTTATGAACCTCTAGCTAGATAATATTCTATGATCATTTATTTGTAGTTATTATAGTTTCTTTGAGTCTTTTCTAGGCTACTAAGTATAGTTTCCAATTATCAGATCACCTTTTAAGCTTGATCAAAGATCTGATTAAGGCTGTTAGTACAGAAATATTTCTTTTGTTTTAAAATTTTTAAGAGATTATCTTTTTTTTAATTTTGGCCTACATATTATTTGTAGTTACTAGTTTAATTCAAACAGATATTAATATAAAGTCAAGAATGTTCTTAAAAACCAGAGTATCTAGCCTCCTCTATTGTAATCCACTTGAAATATCGAGTATCTGGGTAATAATTTAGATTTGTTTTTAATCTATTATAAAATGAGTTTATTAATTTTGTTTAATTGTTTTCTTTTTGGTAGAAGAAGATAAGCTAGATACCAAATTTTAGAAATAAATAAAGCTTTTGCTAACAGAATTTTTCTTTTAAAGGAGAGATTTTTGGCTATAATCTTCTTGATCCTATTTTTAATATTTTGAGTAAGGTTTTCTCACAGATGTTTTTTGGCTACTCTTTTGGTGGTAACTTTATATTCCAGAATTCTAAGTAGTATTTTATTATTAGCCACTTTAAAATAATCTTGATTCAACAAATTTGTTGATTGTGCAAAATCTATTAAAGAAACTAGTCAGACTTTTCTCTGTTAATTTTAGAATTTATAGCTATTTCATATTTTTGCAAAAATAATAGAAGTATTTTTCAATCCAAAAAGGAGCCAATTTTTACAGTTAAATTATCAGCATATACTATAGCTTTAAATTGCTGTTGCATAACTTGAATTTAACTGATTTCTTCCTGGATTTAAGAATTAGTAAATTGAGAGTTAAAATATATAGTAATGGAGACAAATGATCACCCTGTTGAACTCCTCTTTTTACTTTTATAGGCTCTGAGATAAGATTAGAATCTATAATATATGCTATTTGGGAGTTAAAGAAAGAACTAATAATATTAATAAACTTTGTATAAAAGTTCATTTTTTTAAGTACTTCTAGGATAAAATTATGATTTATCCTGTCAAAGGTTTTATATTAGTTTAGAAAAACAATCCACTTGGTAAAAATAAATCATTTTGGTTTCTTATAACTGTAATAATATCTAATATTATATTTGTAATTAATCTCTTCTTTATAAAAGTCTATTGTGAAGGTCTAATTATTGTTTGATATATAGTATTAACTCTATTGGCTAAAATTTTTATAAAGATCTTTACGTCACAATTAGTGAGTAAGATAGATCTTTAATTGTTGATTTTTTTTTTTTTTTTTAGATGATTTTGCTTTTATTATTTTTTATAAAAGTACTAAAAAATCATATTTTATGAATAGTGATTCTGATATAATTTTTTTATACTATATTTTATTCTAATAAAAATTTATTCGACAGATACGATTTGTCAAAATAGCCATTTTGCTTCATATCAGATCCTTTCTGATCCTTAGCTAGAGCTAACGTCCTATATTAAGTAGCAAAAAACAAAAAAAAACTAAAAAAATAAAACAGAGATATAGAGGTCTACAATAAAAGAATACAAATAAGAAATAAAAGGAGTAAGAGAATAATACGAAAAAAAACAAAGAAAAATTGTATAATCTAATATCACAATTATAAGCCTGTAAAAAGCTTGTAAAAATTATATACTACTAAATAAACTAGTTTTTATTCTAAATTTATCTACTTAATATATCAAAGTAAAATTTGAGGCATATGCGAATTACTTCACATATTTGTTGTCATCTATTTAATTTAAGAAATAAACAATGCTAACTATTTTGGTTCATATGATATCGATTTTTGAAGAGAGTAAGCTAAAATATCTATTTTTTATAAAAATTTTCTTGAAAAAAAGTGGTGGGCCAATGAGAGAGTAGAAGTTTCTTCTATAAGTTTTATAGTTGTATATATATTTTTACAGACTTCTGTTATCTTTAAAAAACCTGTTCTTAGAATAAACCTTTTGGTTTGAATGCCAAATATCTTGGGGAGTCTACTGAAGCCAAAAAGTTTGACTTCAAGAAAAACCATTTTGTTTATACTCTCTCCTTGGTGTTTTATGTCTTTTAGATTTCGTTGACAACAGCCTGCTTTAAATAAACTTGTTCTCAGAATAAACTTTTTGGTTTGGATACCAAATATCTTAGGGAGTCTATTTGCAATGAGAAAAAAACTTAACTTCAAGAAAAACTACCTATTTGATACCTGCTTCTTAATGTTTCATATCTTTAAAGCTTTGTTGACAACAGTTTACTCAAGGTAGAACTAAAGATAGTAGCTGTCTTGAATGTTCTTATAGTATTTTTTTGTAGTTTAGTTTTAATTGTTGTTAACCAAAGAATTGTTAGAAAGAGTATACCTATTAGAGTTGCTAGTGAAACTGGTGAAACTTGGTGAAACTTGGTAAAACTGGTAATTATCTAAAATCTGATTGGCTATTGAATGTAATAGCTAATCAGATTTTAGATAGTCACCAATTTTATCAGTATGATTTAATTTCACCAGTAGCTCTAATGCCTATATTAATTTTGACTATATTGATATTTTCTAGATTATTTGATTTTTAAAAATTAATATAATAATATTTTTTGTCCAAGATCTGAGTATTAATCCTGTTTTTAGACAAAAATTAAAGAGTTCTATAAGTACTGGAGTTACTTTATCTTTTATTTCTTTGTAAAACTCATATATGAGTCTATCTGACCCTGGAGTAGTGTTTCTATAAACTGAACTGAACTGAACTTTTGGCCAAGTTCAAGTTCAGTTCAAAATTGAACTAAACTTGAACTTGAACTTTTTTTAAAAAAAGTTCAGTTCAGGTTCAATATTGAACTGTAACAGAACTAAATAGAAACATTTTGTTTAAAACTTGGCCAGCAGCCAAGTTAA